CCCCCGTTAGCACTGCGCATGCGCGAGAACAGACCGCCCCCTACCCCTTGTGCGAAGCTTTCCAGCTGGTTAAGGCCGGAGCCTCATTTTCATCCACACAAGGGTGGTGGCGCCTTGCGACTACACTTCCCAATATGCAGCAAGCTTAGTCGATGTGCGCATGCACCTCCCAAACGTGGTGGAGGGGCCGACTCCTCTTTCCTCACCCCGCGCGGTCCCATCATGCACCTGGACGGCAGCGCTTCGGAACCAGCGCGCGTGCGCAAGACTCAAACAAGGTCTCGGTGACCCCGGAAGCGGTCGTCCGCCGCGGGGCGTCACATCCTGCCGGCGTTTTGTGCAGGAGCTGGGCCGGGGTGCGGTGCGGAGCAGAGCGGAGCTGCGGGGAAGGTCGCCACCATGACGGACCGCTACACGATCCACAGCCAGCTGGAGCACCTGCAGTCCAAGTACATCGGCACGGGCCACGCCGACACCACCAAGTGGGAGTGGCTGGTGAACCAGCACCGCGACTCCTACTGCTCCTACATGGGCCACTTCGACCTGCTCAACTACTTCGCCATCGCCGAGAACGAGAGCAAGGCGCGCGTGCGCTTCAACCTCACCCGCCCCGCCCCGCCATGCGCCGAGCCGCGACCCACCCCGGCGGGGACACCGGCAGAGAGGCCTGAGGGGCTCCCAAGGCTGAAGACGGACAGCGCCTGCGGTGGGACTGACAGACACAGTTGCCTCCATGCCCACGTGTTGGGTACAGTGGACTCCTGGCGTTTCTTCACCCTCCTGTTTTTTTAATGTGAAAGACAAACGTCCCAAGCATTTCCTGATTGCATCTGGCGGGGGTCTGCTGGAGCCCTAGCTGCAGGAAGAGGGCCAGCTGCACTCACTGCTGTTTTCCTTTTTGTATTTGAATGTAATCACTTGTAGGGAAATATGTGAAACTTGTTCTGACTGCAAAATTTAAGTTTTCATCTTTCAAGTGTTTCAATACAGACAACTGAAATCTCTGTAGAGATGGATATATATTTTTTTTTCCTATAAAATATATGTACATGTTGAATCTTGGGCTATTGCTGCAAAGCTGTGGGCATGGGCGGGGGAGCGAAGAAACTGAAATTCTCTCTCTTCATTCACCTCCTCCCACACAAACCCCTCTCACTTTATGGCTTTCATAAAGTCAGGAACGTCCGCTGATTTCCTGCTCTGTGTTGTGGAGATCTCATAAGCCATACTTTCACCGTAAGGTGCAGGCATGATGGTACTCGCAATTCTCTGTGTATTACGTCTAGTGCAAGACAACATTGTCACCTTATGGCTTAAGTAATATATCGCTGTGCAATGCAGCAACACACAGAGGATTGAAACTGATGGCTTATTTCTTTAAATAGCTTGTTTTATATCTTCCTTTTTCTGAGTTCTCAGTGTCGCTTCGGTTGTTTTCTTAACCCCTACTGTTTTCTTAACTTTCCTCTTCACCTTTTCTCTTCTGTACAACAGCAAAATTAAATTTTAATCTTTAAAGTGCTTGAATACAGACAAGCTTCCATGTATAAAACATGGGCTGGAGGAGGAGAGGTCTAGGAAAAGCCAAATGATTCTCTGCTAAGGGATTTTTTTTTTCCCTCTTTCCCCCATTGGGACAAACTTGAGCTCTCCCTTTAGGTCTGTTCCATTCAAGAGTGAAGTGCTTAGAACCTGTGTGTGGACAAAATCTGTTTGGGTGATAAAAGGATAAAGCAAGCATGCGGCTACAAAACTGTTACCCGTGTAGAATGAATATTGCTGCTCCTGATTTGTTGCATAACTTGAGTAAAAAAAATAATAAAATGTTTCTGTTAGCAAAAGTTAATGTCATGTATTCCATTTACATGCATACTAGGCAAAAGCATAATTTGGTTAACAGCATAGTACGATGCCAGTTCAAGTATTTTGCCTATTTACATTGTAATAAATATAACTTCAGCATCTTTCAGCTCTGCTGTCTGCTTTGTAAATATAGCTGCACAATAAATTGGTGCCAGAAACACTGAAGGGGAAATAACCGTGAAAATAGCTGCTGTTAGAAGTCTAGTAAATGACGGATGGTAGTCAGTTCCCAGGGTACTTATCTCCCTGCACTTACAGGGCTACTATTAGAAGTAAGGCCGTGTTCTTAATGAGCATTGCCTACATTAAGTGCATGGCCATTTTTCAGTCCCAACGCTGTGTATTAAAGTATACTTAGTGGAGGCCATCATCTCCACTTCTCTCTCATTTTTGGGGAGTGACAAGGGCCTATTCATATCTCTTATTTTTCAAATTGTAGTGTGCTGGCTAAGGTATATTACATAGTATTGGAAGGAGAGATTTTTAGCATGGTGTATAAGTAGGGGCTGTTTTCTTGTTGCCTTCTGAAAGAAAAGCTTGCAAAAAAGAGGTGACAAATTCTAATATTATAAAAGCCTATGTCTGTCTGTCTGTAATGCTTTATTCGTGCTCTGACTGGCTGACTGAAACAGCCAATCACAGTGCTCCAAGCATGGGGGAGTGCCACCCTGATTCCGAAGCCGCATTGAGGACTGGATAGAGGGTGGGGGAGCCGAAGCCGCCCCGCTCCCTGCAATAGGCAGAACAGTGGCAGCATGGGGCGTTAGGTGTCGGCACTCCATGCCAGCCCCCTCTGCCTCATCATTTTCGACAGGCATTTGGCTAGTACATTAATATTCTTTAAAATTATTTCACTATATTCGGTAACTTTGAAAGAGAGAAGTTTTGTCTTTTCTGCCTTCTTTGAACTGTTACCAGACACCAAAACTGGAGTTCAAATGCTTCTGTTTCCAGCACAGTGAGCTTTTCTGAGGTGAAGGTAAATTAAGTAGAATGTAAACTGATGTAGACTGGACAAGAGGGGAAAAAACATAATCTTGAATGTCTTATCAATATACACATGCCCCTAGTCAGTATATTGCAATCTATTTTGATCTGTTAACTTTTAGAGTGACACAGAACTACTTTGGTTACACGTTACTTTTCTCACTTCTGTCTATCATTTTAAGACCCAGTCTAACTGGGAAAGTTTTACTGGTTATACCACTCCAAACTTCCCATTGTAGATATTTATTTTAGTATGACTGACTTTAAGTGACCAAAACAAAAAAACTCCTATATCTTTTACCTGAATAAGTGTTTGTGGGAAGTGGGGGTGGGAAATTACACCATATTAAGTGATTTAACAGTCTAAAAAATCACTTCGAATCCTTTTCTTAAAATTTGAAGTTGGTGGAATATTGCTAACATTTTACTAAAGAATGGAAACAAAGAGGGAGTGATCATTCTAAAAAGCTTACTTCAGCCAGAGATGATCGTTTCATGAAATTTCAAATCAAAGACCATTCTCTAACCAAAGGGCTTTCTCCCTCCTGCAATGACTAACATATTGGGAGTGTTTCATAGTTTAATAGTTGGTAGGGTCAGAAGGGACCTGAGCAGATCATCAAGTCCGACCCCCTGCCATGGCAGGAAAGAGTACTGGGGTCAAACGACCCCGGCAAGGTGTTCATCTAGCCTCCTCTTAAAGACCTCCAGGGTAGGAGCCAGCACCACTTCTCTTGGAAGTTGGTTCCAGGTCCTAGCTGCCCTGACTGTGAAGTAGGGCCTCCTGCTGTCTAGTCTGAATCTACCCTCTGCCAGCTTGTGACCGTTATTTCTAGTCGCTCCTGGTAGTGCTTGGGGGAATGGACTCCCCGAATGCCTGCTGGTCCCCTCTGACTAGTTTGTAAACGGCCACCAGATCCCCCCTCAGCCTTCTCTTGTGGAGGCTGAACAGGTTCAGGTCCCTTAGCCTCTCCTCGTAGGGCCTGCCCTGCTGCCCCCTGCAACCTGCTCCAGTGCAAAGCCGGACTAGCGAGCCGCACGGGCTGCGTTGGGTCCTCACCTCCCGCAGCCCCGGGTGGCCCTCCTCTGGACCCTCTCCATGTTGTCCACATCCCTCCTGAAGTGCAGCACCCTGAACTGGATGCAGTACTCCAACTGCAGCCTGACCAGTGTTGCATACAGGGGGAGGATCACCTCCTTGGACCTGCTTGAGATGCAACTTTGGATGCATGACAAGGTACGGTTGGCCCTCCTGACCGCGTCCCCATACTGTTGGCCCTTGTTCATCTTGGAGTCTATAATGACTCCAAGATCCTTTTGTGCCTCTGCACTGACGAGAAGGGAGTTCCCCAGCCTGTAGGTGTGCTGCTGATTCGTCCTCCCCAGGTGCAGCACCTTGCACTTGTCAGTGTTGAAACCCATCCTGTTCTCATCTGCCCACCCCTGTAACCTGTCTAGGTCTGATTGCAGCCTATTCCTCCCTTCTAGTGTGCCCACTTCCCCCCACATCTGAGTGTCGTCTGCAAATTTGAATAGGGTGCTTTTTACCCCCTTGTCCAAGTCGCTGATGAAGATGTTGAACAGTGTAGGCCCAAGGACCGAGCCCTGTAGAACCCCACTGCCCACATTCCTCTAGGTCGAAAATGACCCATCCACCACCACTCTCTGGGTGCGGCCCTCCAGCCAGTTAGTGACCCAAATGACTGTGTAGGTGTCGATGCCACAGTCCCCTAATTTTTTAATGAGGATGGGGTGAGAGACAGTGTCGAAGGCCTTCCTAAAATCCAGAAATACTACGTCCACTGCTAAACCTGCGTCTAAGGATTCTGTGATCTGGTCATAGAAGGCCACCAGGTTGGCCTGACAGGACCTGCCTCTAATGAACCCATGTTGGTTGCCCCTAAGCATAATCTCCTCTGCTGGCCCCTCGTGGACATGCACCAGGATAATTCTCTCAAAAAGCTGACCCAGGATTGAGGTAAGACTAACTGGCCTATAGTTCTCCGGGTCTTCTTTCCTCCCTTTTTTGAAAATGGGAACCACATTGGCCTTTTTCCAGTCCTCTGGCACCACACCAGAGCACCACGAGCGCTCGTAAAGCCGTGCCAGGGGTCCCACAATGACCTCTGCTAATTCCCTCAGCACTCTGGGGTGGAGATTGTCAGGACCAGCTTGTCCTGACCCAATTGATGCATCTGTGGATGCATGACAAGGATCCACAGATGCATCTCAAGTCAATCATTGTTGAAGTGGTGTTATAGTCATTGATGGTCCAGGACATATGCAAGAGGCAAAAATTTTATAGGTAATATCTTTAATTGGACCAACTGCAAGGCTGAAATAGACTTAGATGAACTTTTGGATATCACAGTACCCTTAAGTCTCTGGGAGACAAGCAGACACAGCACAGCTAAGTAGCAGATGGAACAAGGCCTGTATCAGTTGTTTAAGTCTATCCCAGCCATTCAGTTGGTCCAATAAAAGATATCATTTACAAAAATTCTTGTCTAAAGGAGGTATTGAAGCTACTCAAATGGTGCTGCAAGAATCTTCTTTAAGAATGAAGGATGTGAAGGGACTGCTTGGGTTGTCCAATACAAAGGGAAAATATTAGGTAAAATAGGGGTTGTTACTAGCCTTCTATATAATACATATATATAATTTTGTGCTATTGAACTTAACAGTATTCTTTGAAAGCAACATGTATAGCTACAAATAAAAATCTACTTATCAGTTAACAATTTATTGTCTTTCAGTTTGATGCAATGGCCCCATGTTCTTCTGTTTCAAGAGGGTAAATAGGAGCATCTGAATTATTTTCTCTCCCGTTGTGAAATTGTACACAAGCTAACAACAGTGTGTGATGCCTCTCTCTCCATGAGGCAGTCTAATATCTCCCCAAGAACCGTAGTCATTGTGCCTATAATTATTGCTGTTTCTTT